TCTGGTGGGTTACATTTTAAATAAATAACAATGAAGAAGGTTTGAAATTTTATAAGCGATAAATTAAGTGATGAATAACGAACCGTACATTTTTCAGTTAATTATATTTAGATGAAAACATTTTGCAGTTATATTTCTTTTTAAAACTCAGTCTCTATATCAAATAAATAATAAAAACTCATTTTGTGTTGATAAAAGGGTTACAATATACATACCTCTGAAATATTCTGATTACCTTATCAAGGAGAAAGAGCACATATGTATAGCATTCTCCTTAGTGCAGAAACCAGATATTTTAATGTTACTGTCAGGGGCTAATTTTTTTTATATACAGCATCTATATAGCTGTGAATTAAAATTAATTTGATCTCTATAGGCATCTGAGTTATTGCCACAAATAATCTTCACTATTTTATTTTGTGTAGATCATGTGGAATGTAATGATTTTGTTGTATTTAATGTACAGGGTACTACACAGCTGCTTGTAGTATTAAGTGTAATTTCTTTAATTATACATATACAACTTAGTATTTTTTTTGCAGACTGTTTTGTACTAAGTAATTTGCATTATGTCCTGAAAGGTAACTAATCGAAGAATAGGAAAGACGATCATTTTATAGAAATTCTACTCAGAAGGAGAGATCTGGAATAAATCTCAGACAGAATGACCAGTTTTCTAGGCAGCACTAAGCAGAACAGGGAGCCATCCCACAAAACTCTTAATTGTACAAAGTACCAGTGACATAAATTGGATTAGTAGCGAGAGAATCAGCCCCAAACCAATGTCTATTGTTTTGTATGGGGAGCTCCCATAACAAGGCTTCTGTGTAAAATAGCAGTATTCGTGCATAAAAATATAAAAAGACAAGGCACGCTAAACTACAAGAACCCAGATAAATCCAACCCCTAAACTATACAGGCCCAGATTCTGACATCCTTATTTCAGGAGTCATCCACTTGATTTAAAGTATATGTTTTGACACAATTATTTTAATGGGATAATTTGTAAAGGAAGGGACTAGTCAGCCAAACGAACAACAACAAGAAAAAGTAAACCTGGCTAGTCATAAAGGAAACAGACCTGTACAAAATGTCCACATTACAATAAAATAAAGAGGCCTACAAATTCACCTGACACATCACATGTGTACAGTATAAATTCGGGGACAGAATAGAAGAAACACCTCACATGAACAGATACCACAAACTTTCTTCCAATCTTCCCTCTGGCTTTTCAAAGGGTACCCCTCACACCCTGGAGTGTCCTGCTTCATCTACAACATTTACCATTTCAATTGTTATTTCTGTCAGCAATTCTGAGCATTTAATTCAAGGGTTTAATCCTGAAAGCAAACGCAAGTAAAATATTCAATGAGACTACTCAAGTGAGTAACATTATTTTAAAAAGTTGGCATGCAGGATCAAGTCCTATGATTTAACCTCAGAGTAAAAAATTTAAATTCCAGTTCATCCTAGTTGCCAAGACAAGACAGAGGGCAAAAGGTGGCACATTTAATAGACAAGTTCTACACTATTTTAATTTCTACATGCTAATAGTAATGCATGATAATACATTCACTGGATAAGAAGCAGCAAACATAGGACACAAACGGCATTTTAGGCAGTGAACTATTGTGCTATTTTTTACTATCAACAGTATACTCATGCACTAATGTCCATTAAAATAGTTTTGTGTTGCATTAGTCCCAAAATATATGAAAAGTATTCCTGTTATCCATCAAACCATAACAAATGGATCTCCACTGAGAAGCAACACAATGCAGGGGGGCCCACTCTTGCTTCAAGTTCCTTCACAGCATCAAGCTCAAAATTTCTGCCCTTGACTTCAGGGTCCTGAGTAATTCTACACTTGCTTTTACTTACTCAGATACTTTCTTATCACACATTTGAAATGCAATTGCTTTAGAATATTAGCTGGATGATAACAAAAGGCTGAATGTTAATTTTTCCCCTATCTTGCATAACTCTCATAATACAACTTAATATTAAAAATGTGTAAGATAAGAATTCAACCAATCACTAACTAAGCAGCTTGATTGTTTCTTGCAACTCTTTCCTCTACCCATTCACATTAGTTTGCCTTTTCAGAGTGCAAGGGACACACATGCCTTATATATATATAATTTTTGTTTAATATGTGTGTGTGTGTGTGTGTGTGCGCGCACATGCACGTGCTAGTGAGTACTCCATGAACAATTAATAACTGCTCCATCTTCAACATCTGCCCTTGACTCAGCCCCTAAATTTGTTTCTGCCTTCGATAACTCTGTATTTATTATATATTGGTTCTCCTTACTACACATCCACATTTTTTGTTCATCTATTACCTCCTGCTGTCATTTTTTTTTCTATGTGGCTTCTCTGAGTTGCATTACTTCTAGCCCAGCACATGCATAATGCTGTTCCTTGCATTCTTACATGGATAAAGAAACTCAACTGCATCACTTCCATCCTGAAACAACTTACATGGCTCAACATTTAAATCATGATTTAATTCACAGTAGCTTCCTCATTTAAAATAATGCTTCAACAATTTGTACAGGCTAACACAAAGGCATAATGTTCGTTGTCCCCCTCCCTGCCCCTTCTACTGTATCCTTCTGGATATCTAGCATTCACAGCAAGGAAGAAAACATACTGCATCTGAGAGAATGGTTGAAATATAGGGACCACTCAATGGAACCTGCTGCATCAGAACCTGAATAAGCATTTGCAGCATCTGATTTCAATAAGCACCGACTGGTTTTCCAGCAGTGCTTGGGCTCACTGAGACTTGACAGCAGCTGCCAGATACTGCCTAATGATTTGGGGTTCTCTTACCACCATAACATTTCCAGGAATCACTGCTTCCCTTTAGATTGCTGGGATGAGGCAGAGGCTCTCAAATACAAGGGATCCACCTGCTTCCCATGCCACTGTTACAAAAGACCAGGGCTCCTGTCCATAAATGCAGTATTTTTATTTTGCATTGGCAGACCCAGCCTCTGTGCTATCTTTATGCACTTGCAGCTTAGTGTTTACCTTATGCAGTTGTACTAATCCTTTTGTTTGCAAAATGGGTACTACTTACCATTCCTAGAAAGGAAGAAAAGACCTAAAGCAGCCTAGGTTCAACCTGTTAACCTTCATCCATCCATCACAATGCCTTTGGTGATTTCCCTGCCAGTGGCTTCTGAAAGCAATCTACATTGTACATCCTATCAAGCTGGACTCTAATAAACAGCTTCATTTCAGTTAGTTCAATATGTTGTCTGCATCACATCAAGTCAACATGGCCTGGCTTGTAGGATGCAAACACCCATAAAACAATATAATACATGTAGAAATCACACAAAACAAATACTTTTCCTTTTACAAGTCAATTTGCTTGAGAAATTGACATGAATTCAAATAACAAATAGTGTCAGAGTTACAGTAACCACACTATTCCCTCCTTTAAGAAGACTAAGCAATCAAACAAAAATAAAGCAGAGTTAAGGAAAAGTCATCTTCAATTTGCTTCATTGTGGGGATACTGTGAAAAGCAGTGCTAGGCACATGAACTCTGTGAAGACAATGCTTTTCTCTGATTAAATAAACATGGAATAAGTCAATCAAAATAAATATGTTGTTTTCTAAAGAATTCACCCTAATTAGAAGTAAAATCATCTCACAATGACATTCTAGATGTTCCTGTTATGGAACTGATGGCCTGATTCTCATTTCATTTGACTATTTGAATTAGGAGTAAACCACTGAACTCAATGGACTTGCTGTGTGTAATATAACCACCCTGAAAAGCTGGAAAGAGATCTGTCAGCAAAATGTCAGGACTGACATCTATGGGGAAAAAAAGGGATATTCATACACCTTTGTATCTGCAAGAGACAGCTACAAGAGGATGAAAGAGGAGTGGAGTAATACGGCTTTTCTCAGTGATTTCTTTCTTTTACAATGTTTTCAAAGGGAATGTAAGAAAAACTAATGCAAATCTTGCAACACATTCTTGCAGCACTATGTCGACCAAGTTTGTACACATAATTTTGAAAGCTTTTGGAAAGGGGGCAGATTTGCATGAGAATTTTCTTTTATAATCTGTTGCAGTTTGACTGCAAATACCTATATATAAAGTGGATTATATACCAAATAGACTGCCTGGATACTTGAAAAAGATTCTTTTTGACCCAAGAGAGAGGATGTAGTCCACTGAGTTTATGATTTCATAGGACTCTTTAAATCTATAAATTATCTAGAGGCTACCTATGGAAACCAAGTTTAGTTGAGAAAAGTCAGGACAGATGGTCATGAGTAATGCTGCATGCACATACGTTAAATAATACTGCTAAATAAAACAACAATCTTCTGAAATGTATTTTCTAAAGTACTCAAAATTATTCATTCACATGATAAGGCAGTAGCTTCTAAAACCTCAGAAACAAAATAGATGTTCTTGAGTGACGCTAGTGTAAAAAGCTTCTGAAAGTAATTACTCTTCAGATTCAAGGCAAAGGGAGGCTGAATAAACAAATATACTGTTTTTTTTAACAAAATATTTAATGGGTTCTTCTTCTCAAATTTGACAACAATGATCTAGGTGTACCTGATACCCCAAAGAGCCTGCCAAATATCCATCAACTATCTACAGCGGATAATAGGGTGTTATGTCCAAAATGGTGACAAACTAGTAACTATACATGTGTAAATACTGTCTCAATTTCCATGTCAACAGCTCTCTGTGGGTAGAGCATTCCTCTTTTGAGATCATGTACTATAGCAGGAAAAGACTGCAAAACCCAGAAAACTGACACAGAACTGAGACCACAGCTTGGTCCAATGTCAAATTTCAACCTGCTCAAACACAAGGAAGATGCTTTTCCCATTTTCTAATTAAATATTATGGATTCCATATCTATATTTTTTAGATGTTAACATTATGAGAAACAAATCAGAATACAAACACCTGAAAGCCCTCCAAAGAAATTATTGAATTAAATACGTACTTAGCAAGCTGTTTCTCAGCATCAGCGCAGAGCTCCAAAAGGCCCATTAATACAGCAGAGACGTCCATGTATGGCTCCCATACAGTAAAACCTCGCCCAATCAGATCAATTGCAGTTCTGCGAATGGTGCTGTGTGGAGGAAGTTTGGGGCTGGGTGGCTGCAGCAGCAGAAATGTCAATGCCTTGCCTGCCATACAGAACAGGAGAAAAACTTAGCACAGTGAAAAGAAACCTACCAAATTGATTTTTTGTTGTTTGGAAATGCTTGCCACAAATCCAGTATGGAAAGTTGTTCACCGAGTACCACAACAGGGTCTGCTCTTGTAAAAGGGCAGGACTTCACACCTACTGATTACCACTGGAGTCAGTGAAAGCAGAGATGCAAGGTTCTGCCTACATCAATTCTATTGAATAACTGTAAGCTATTTGGTGCAGAGACCACTGGTTTGCTGTATGTTTGTACAGTTTAACACAACAGAATCCCTAAGGTGTTGTGACAATACAAAGGATTAATAACAATCTTGAATACTATATGAATACTTTTGCAGGATTGGAACATATAAAATTGTATGTTTTAGATAAATGATATTTCAGATCTCTAGTGAATGAACTACTGCAATCCCAGAGTTAAAGAACATGAGACAGGCAGACAAACAGATGCATAAACAGACATGCTCTAAAGTGAGGCAACTGTAGGAAGGCTTCTCTCTGAAGGAGTGACAGTGGCTTTTCTATCAGAAGTTGTCAGTCTACAAGGCTGGAGCCCAGAACTCTGAAGAATCTAACAGAAAAGTGGCAACAGGTTTTTTTTATAACATTTTTGAAGCATTCAATAGAATTTAATAAAGACCTATGTCCCTAATATAAAACCCTTTAGGTCAGTTAAAAATATAGAAGAGAGATCACTCTCTATTAGAGTGTATAGTAATGTCTATAGAAGTCTATTGATTACATCCTTATTATATTCTTCCTATAGGACCATTTCATGTGGGGAGGATCATGCAGATATATGAGAAAGAAGCGAGTGCAAGAAGCTATTTTTAAAAATAAAATAAAAAAATAAAGGAATTAAACTTGAAAGTATTATTATAAGTAACTGCTCTATAAATATGAAACAATCTTTAACATTACCTCCAGGAGATCAGTAGGTATTATTATATCCCTCACCCTGAGGCAGAGACTAGATCACAACAATCAAAACCTTCTCTCCTTAAAAAAATGAAATTTGAAATAGCTTTTCTAAATACAATAGATATATGATAAGACCAAGATTGAACTATTTTTTCTGTATATGTAGGTTTTATTTTTGGGAGTATGTATGTAGTGGATGGGTATTGGTGATGATTATGCAAAATGTGGGGAAGTAGTGTTAATTTGCATTCATTTGAATTTATACAAACCAGACAGCAAACCACTGATGACCGGTACTAAATGTAAATTGGTGTCTATGTTGGAGGAAAAGATGGAAGAGTTGGAAGCACAGGTATCCACACTGCATGTTATCAAAGAAAACAGACACTTCTTGGATAAGAGTCATATGAGGCTGGCACTGGAGATGCTAATAGAAGATAAGTGGCAACATGTGACGACAAGGAGATGGATACCCAAAATTCAAGAGGAACAGGTAGAAGTCGATAACTGCTTCTAAGCACTCTGCAGTGGAACAGCTGGTGAAAGGGGGCAGAGATGAGGACACCAGCAGGCAAGATCCAGAGGACTCAGCAGTCTAGAGAGCAGTAAGTGAAGGGCTCCAGGGATGGAGGCTGTAAGACCACTGAACGCAGAAAGAAGAGAATAGTGGTAGTAACTGTAGACTCCCTTTGGAGGGGTACAAAGGCACCAATTTGTTGTCCATAATTAGGATCCTGGGAGGTGTCATGTCTGCCTGAGGTTCATATTCAAGATGTTACCAAAAGACTGCTGAAGCTCATCCATCCACCAGACCATTACCCTTTCCTGCTAGTCCATGTAGGTATCAAAAATACTGCTAAGCATGACATTGAGCAGATCAGAGGAGACTACAAGGCTCTGGCAGGAGGATTAAGGAGTTTAGAGAACAAGTGGGGTTCTTATCAATCCTCCCAGTGGAAAGCATGGGACCAGGTGGGAACTAACGCATCATGGAAGAAAACATGTGGCTGAGAGAGTGGTGTTGATGTGGAGGCTTTGGATTTCTTCACTAGGGGGATGTTCTGAGGAGGAGGGCTGCTATCCCTGGGAAGCCAGACTGAGGGGGAGAGAAGTTCAGGAGAGCTGGCTGTACTTTAAAGAAGCCTTACTGAGAGTGCAGGAACAAACCATCCCAGTGTGCAGAAAGACTAGCAAGTATGGCTGAAGACCAGCTGGGCTTAGCAGGAAACTCTTCAATAAACTAAATCACAAAAAGAAAGCTTATAAGAAGTGGAAACTTGGATAAATAACTAGGAAGAATAAGAGCATTGCTTTGGCATGCAAAGATGAAGTCAGGAAGGCCAAAGCGCAATTGGAGTTGCAGCTAGTAAGGGATGTGAAGGGTAACAAGGAGGGTTTCTACAAGTATTCTGGTAGCAAAAGGAGGATCAGGAGCAGTGTGGGTCCCTTACTGGATGGGGAGGCAAGCTTGTGACAGGATACAGAAAAGGCTGAAGTGCTCAGTGTCTTTTTCACATCGGTTGTCACAGGCAAGGTCAGCTCCCAGACTACTGAACCAGGCAGGACAGTCTGGGGAGGAGGTGAGTAGCTCTCAGAGGTGAAAGAACAGGTTGGGGACTACTTAGAAAAGCTGCATGTGTACATGTACACAGGGCGATGTGGGATGCCATGGGGGCCAGATGTACAAGTCCATGGGGCCAGCACCTGAGAGTGCCGAAGGAGTTGGCTGATGTGGCTGCAGAGTCATTGGCCATCATCTTCGAAAACTCACTGGCAATCTGGAAAGGTGCTGGATAATTGGAAAAGGGCAAACATAGTGCCCATATTTAAGAAAGGGAAGGAGGATCCAGGGAACTACAGACAAGTCAGCCTCACTTCAGTCCCTGGAAAAATCATGGAGCAGATCCTCAAGGAATCCATTTCTAAGATTTTGGCAGAGAAAAAGGTGATTAGGAACAGTCTGCATGGATTCACCAGGGGCAAGTCAGGCCAACCTGTTTGCCTATGATGAGATGACTCGCTCTGTAGATGCAGGGAGACTGGTGGATGGGGTGTACATAGCACAGCATTTTGCAAGCAAGCTATGGAAGTACGGGCTTAATGAATGGACTATAGGGTAGATAGAAAACTGGTTGGCGCATCAAGCTCCAAGAACAGTAATCAATGGCTCGATGTCTAGTTGGCAGCCAGTATTATCAAGTGGAGTGGCCTAGGGGTTGGTCCTGGGGCTGGTTGTGTTCAATGTCTTCATCAACAACAAGCAAGATGGCATAGAGCACACCCTTAACAAGTTTGCAGATGACACCAAGCTGGGGGAGAAGGGGAGAGTAGTAGGTATGCTGGAGGGTAGACTAGGACAAATTGGAGGATTGGGCCAAAAGGACTTTCATGAGGTTCAACAAGGACAAGTGCAAAATCCTGCACTTATGATGGAACAATCCCATGCACAGGCACTTAGGATGGAGCAATCCCATGCACAAGTACAGGTTGGGGGTTGACTGGTTTGGCAGCAGCTCTGGAGAAAAGGACCTTGGGGTTACAGTGGATAATAAACTGAATATGAGCCAGCAGTGTGTCATTGTTGCCAAGATGGCCAATGGCATCCTAGGCTGCATTGGTAGGTTTGTTGCCAGCTGGTCAAGGGAAGTGATTCTTCCCCTCTATTTAGCATTGGTGAGGTCGCATCTGGAGTACTCTGTTCAGTTTTGGGCCCCCCACTACAGGAAGGATGTGGACAAATTGGAGAGAGTCTAGCAGAGGGCAACAAAAATGGTGAGGGGGCTGGAGGACATGACTTATGAGGGAAGACTGAGGGAACTGGGCTTATGTGGTCTAGAAAAGAGGAGACTTAGAGGGGACTTAATAGCAGCCTTCAACTACCCGAAGTGGGGTTCGAAAGAAAATGGAGCTAAACTGTTCTCAGTGGTGGCAGATGACAGAACAAGGAGCAATGGTCTCAAGTTGCAGCAAGGGAAGTTTAGGTTAGATATTAGGAAGACATTTCTCACTGGGAGGGTAGTAAAACACTGGAACAGGTTGCCCGGAGAAGTGGTAACCTGCTCCATCCTTGAAGGTTTGCAAGACCTGGCTAGGCATAGCTTTGGCTGGGATGATCAAGCTGGGGATGGTCCTGCTTTAAGCAAGGGGTTGGACTAGATGACCTCCTGAGGTCCTTTCCAACCCTAGCTTTCTGAGTCTATCAAGAAATGGGATCCATCTAACCAGAACTAACGAGATCTTTGGGCATCATTTAACTAAGTGTAAGGAGGGATTTAAACTATGTCCCACAGGAGACTGAGAACAAAACCCTCCAATAACAGAATGAGCAATCCAAAGGGGAAAAGGTCAGAAGCTACTACTCATGTGAGAAAGGGCCAGAGAGCCACAGGACAACAATAAATGATGCAAAAGGGAAACAAGTAGGTTGGAATACAAAATACATCTGATAAATGTATACAAATATAAGAAATGGGGAACAAACAAGATGAGCTGAGGAAGTCACAACCTGTGAAAGGAACTGTGATCTGACTGGTATCAGAGACCTGGTGGGACAGCTCTTATAACTGGAACACCAACATTGTGACCAGCATGCATGTGTCAGCATGCTCCATCAGCCTCCATGTCTCATGTATCAATGTCACCATGCTTCAAAATGGCAGTAGGGGCACTTTAACTGAAGCCCGTTGAAGCATCCCCACCACCATTTTAAAGTGTGAGGACACGGATGCACAAGACGCTGCAGGCACTTTAACTACAACAGCTCCGAGAGGCAAAAGCCCCCTTAGTCCATATCAATCTGACCATCAGGTACAATTCTTCCCTGATCTCAGATTTGGCAATCAGTATGACCCTGAGTTCAGGAGCGAAACCCTCTAGCCAGGAACCTCTAGGTTTAAGACTCAGAAGGAGCACTGGCTCACCCGTCAAATCCCCAGTGCTTCCCAATGCCAACCCTTCGAAGGACAGTGGTGGGGAGCGGGGCGGGAGGAGGAACCCTGAGACATGTAGCACTGGTAGAGGAAAGAATTACTTCCCAACTCCATATGGCAAACGGGA